TGATGTCAAATGCTGTGTTAATGAGTCATTAATAATGTCATAAATGCTGTCAATCATACGTGACTCGTTGTTGAAGCTCAGTCAAAGGCAAGTGACGCCACACGACACTGACAGAAACATCACTCCAAACACAGAAACCCCCACCTTTTGGAGTGGCCCTGACCATAACCCAACAGAGATGATGTGGAATGGGCTCAGAGATGTTCACACACCGTCAATATGTCTGATGTGAAACAGACTACGTTCATCCTGAATGCTGCAATATTTAACGGATGTCTTCAAAAGACACAAAGCAAATTGTTTGTGTTAATAGTTTAACACACTGTTTGCCTATACTTGTGACTTAAAGACCAAATTTGACCTCCACTAATGCAGAAAAAAACAATTCCAACTGGTTTGCAAACTTTTTCTTTGCTGCTGTGTGCATGCACTTCATTTTCATTACGAGTCTAGGGAATGAAATTCAAACTGTTACCTCTCACTGCTATTTGATCTTACAAAGTGAACCAGTCCAGTTAAGCCCAGTCCATCTTAAATTATGAGCTGGTTCATGTTTTAGCTGCTGTATTGTTGTTAGAGTTCACTGCACTCTGTAAGATAATAGATGTCTGGGGTATCTAGTAGATGAAAAATACACCAGTTAACTTCAGTGTGGGTCCGTCTTACAATCGACTGGCTTGATAAAGTGTCGATTAAGCATCGGTCCTGAAATAAAAACAGAGATAAAACCATGCACACTGCTGTCCAATCCCTCCACTGAACTGCTGGGCAGGCCAGTAAATTCCTGTGGTTTGCCAAATGTAGGCTGCTGGCCTTCCACTGTTCAGTAGAAGAGGACAATGCAGCAAGTCTGAACAGAATACATTTTATTTAAAGAATTATGTGAGTGACAAGAGGGGAAAAAAAGATCAACCAACTACTGGTAAATTTAAACAGAAAACAGTTTAGAAAAGTTAATCTGAAACTGGGAAAATATTACACTTCTGGTGTTTCACAGCTCATTATTAATGTAATAGAAACCTGAGAAATGTAATGCACCCTTTTAAAAATCCAGCACAAGCCTCCACATCAAAGCCCCCCCCGAAAGGAGCCAGGTAGATGAGGTGAGTAAAGCAAGGACCAAAGAAAAGGAGCAGTGTGAACAGACAATGACGTGCGCTCATATACCAACCTTTTATGCTAAATGGCTTTGTTAGAGCACACCGGTCAAAATACAAAGAACAGCTCTATACAAGCAGAGAGAGAGAGAAATGTACATGCAAATCACCGAAAACACGCACAACTTCATTTCACAGAAACTTTACAGATTAAATGTAATTATACTGCTGAGTGTCATGTTCACAAACATCTATTCGTGCAAGTGTTTTAAGACCAAATATGGCGTCTTTCATGTTTTCATTTTAGTTGCAAGGTTATTGATTCATCCACATGCTGAGAAACTAACTGCATGAGCTTATAAAATTATTTCAGAAAGCACCAGGAAAAGTACAAAAACTGACATAACTGGGGTAAAAATTTCAACTTTAAATTAGCCGATTAATCAGCAATGACTTTTTTTAACTAATTAGTCATTTCTAAAATGAAAAATGCAAAAACAATCGGTGACAACTTCTTTTCAGATGTTTAGATATTACGTATTCTCTGGTTTACATAGTAGTCTATGATTTTAAACTGAATGCATTTGGGTTTTGAGCAGTCGGATGGACAAATCAAACAATACACTGTTATAGACTAAACTAGACATGAATTAAAAATATATTTGGCAAAGTTGCTGAACCAGCCCTTAACTTTGATCATTTCTGGAAATACAATCATATCAGATGACACTGACAATATTTGAAACAATAAATAACTAGAGAGGAAGAAGTGCTACTGTTACATGTGTAGCACACAATGATGTACACTGCTCTCTCATACACACACACACACAAAGACACTGGGAAAGCCCCTCAAGAGTCAGACAGTCAGTGCATACCAGACATCAACGCACCCAGTGGATTTAACTGGGTGAGATTCTTCTAACTATTCGCAGTCTTCAATCTATGTTGGTCAATTTGTCTTTCTGTCTGTGCTGTATGTGTGTGTAAATGCTGATTTGTACTCTGTGTGTGTGAGAGAGAGAAACAGCATTAGACAAGGGTCTGCCTGCTGCAGAAACAGGAGCAGAAATGTTCTGCAGCACATTTCTGACTGCTGGATGGCTGAGCTGCTTACACAGCCAGAACAGGATGCGCTGCTGCCAAACAGCTGTCTGAAGCTGTCTGAAAAGTCAAAGTAGCAGCTGTAACACCAGTAGAATCTGTCCAGTTGGAGCAGAATGGAAAGGATCAACGTCAGGGTGGCAAAAAACAAACTGAGAAAAGCAACAAAAAAGAAAAAAAAAAGGTTTCTCTCTGTGCAAAGTGAAACATTTGTGATCGTTCTGAACCTGCGCTGCATTCCCACCTATCTCCACTATGTGGCAACAGCGCATGTTAAAAAGGAGTCTGGACTTCAGTGATTAAATCTGGTGTACATCGAGATGTAACTAAAGTGTGAACACAACTTATAATGAAGAAACCTTTATATAAAAAGATCTCACCCCCAGGTTTCCAGTGCTCTTGCCTGCTTTTAACTGGAACCAAAGGTGAAGTGTGAATCAAAGCTACACAAACGTAGAAATCAAAGATATTTTCTAAAATAAATAAAACGTGACAACGTGTTAAGATGCCAACTGGACTTCAGTTTGCAGAGCAGAGATATTACTGTCACTAGATCTGTGCCATGAGCCAAAATACCAGGGAGGAGGAGGAGCAGGGTGGGAAAAAGGAACAATTAGCAATCTCTCCTCCTGTGCACAGTGCAGTATATAAACATTAAACCTCCCATAACCATTATTTTTATGTAAACAACGAATCAAATGACTGTGTGTAATGTGAAAGGGGTTGCTTGCAGAGCTGCTAAAGAGAATAACTACAGGAGAGTTCATTGGATGTAGACACCCACTCCTCCCTGCTCATCAGAGTTTATCGCCTTCCCTTCTGACGCCCTGAAGGTCAAAAGCCACTTCCTGTAAAACATCTTCTGCCTGAGAACATTGCTTTAGTGCGTGCACATTCACCTTCTTATCGTCTCCTCCCTTCCCTTCCTTCCCATTTCTACAAGTCAACATCAAGACAACACAAGTGTGTTTAAATTAAAAGAACAACAAAACACCTTGTGACCAAGACACATCCGCTTTTGGAAGCGCTCAAATATTCACTTTGAAGTCATGAAGCTATTTAGAAGAAACTTTCTAGTGCGTGTCAGAATGTTTTACGCTGTTGTCAAGTCTTGTGTATATACCTCCTGACTGTGACCTTCAGTATCCTGTAGGATCCTTTGATGAGGATGAGGGCTTCCTGTCTGCTGCCGTAGAGGGCGGATCCATTTATGTTAATGAGCTCGTCACCCACTTTTAGTTCCTTGCACAGGGCCGCCTTTCCTCCATCCTCAATCTGGAGACAGAGACATTGAGATAAAAGAGAAAAGTTGGAAGTCAAACAGAGGGACATTCAGAATAAAAAAAAAATTGTAAGAATAAAAAAGTCAAGTCCATACTGCCAAGGAAACTCATTTAAAACCCATTTTCAGAGACATTTTTGTTAAACTGTCTAAGTCCCCACAGCAACGGCGCCCTAAAGAGCATCTCCAAAACAGCCTGAACCAAACATCCCACAAAAACCCATCACATTCCTCTGTATTAAAGAGAGAGAGAGTGTGTGTGTGTGTGTGTGTGTGTGCCACAGAGCTAACTGTAGGTCATGCTGCTGTGAGGCCTGCGTTGTTAATGGATGGCACTGCATGTTTTCAGGCTGTACAGGGGTGAGACAGTGACGGGTGTGCGGTGCGGTGCAGGCTGACATCAGCTATATATTACATCAACAGACAAAGAAAGAAAGGATGAAAGAGAAAAGAACACACAAAGATGAACAGAGTCAACAGATGAACAAGGGGCCAACTATGACGATGCAAACATTTGTACTTTAACAACACAAATTTAAACTGGCACACATTTGTAAGCGACTATCGCCCAGTTCTTCTTCGTCTGTGCACTGAAAAGGCATCATTTCCTGTGTGACACCACAAAGAGTCAAATCAATATCTGGAGCAACACTTAAAACCTTGTATGGTCTTTAAGTAAACAAATATAATTTATTATTTATGTACAGAAGAAACCAGTGTGCAACAAACTGCAGCGCATTTTCTAACACGCTCAGTGGTGTTTGTTGTTATTCGGATGTTATAAATAATCTGCAGAAATACTAATGTGCCAGAAAGCAGAAGAGCAAACTTTCTATATACAAGAAACAAAACAACTCTGGTGCCACTTTGTTAATAATGATTGACTCCATGTCATTTTGAACTGTTAAAGAGTTTTTGTTCCTTGTATGTTTAATAAACCACTTCTTAGCTGTTTCTGTGTCAGTTTCAAAACATTTTAACTCTAGTCTGACCCACATGCCTGTGCAGAGAGAGAGAGAGAGAGAGAGAGAGAGAGAGAGAGAACCGTGCTGCTGTGGGATGTCCAGACAGGGTGAGGTCACCCCAGACACTGGAGAGAAAGAGAAGAATGCTCTCTCTGTATGCTGAAACACACACACACACACACACACACACACACACACACACACACACATACATCAGTCAGACACACCCTTTTATTTTTAGATTTGAGGGGTGACTTCATGGACTCCGGTGTGTGCACACATGAATATGTGTGTGTGTGTGTGCAGTGGCACGGTGCCTGTCATTGTGCCCTGGAAAACACAGGAATCCCCCTGCTGTTCACAGGCTGTTCTCGCCCACCCATCACCTGACCCCACACACAACACACACACACACACTTCAAACTGCACTGAACAACAGCCTCTTTATCAAACACTAAAACTATCAGCCTCGGTGTGTGCAGCAGTGTTCGTGAGACTCTCTCTCTCTCTCTCTCTCTCTCTCTCTCTGTGTGTGTGTGTGTCTGGGCAATTTTGACAAGGATGGTTAACAAAGTAAACATCTGCAGTTTATTATTAAGTTGAGTTACTCAAGCAGCTTTACAGTACACATCTATGTGTGTGAGAGAGAATGTGCGTGTTTGTGCGTCGACCGTTGTAAGGCGGTGCCTAAACGTGTGCATCTACAACCTCACATTACTGTTCGGTTGAGGCAAAGAAAATGAGTAGTTCTCTAGATAACACAGCGTTGAGCATGTCCGCAACCGAACGCTGTGCACATACACAAGGACCACGCTGCACCTGACACCAGCACTCACACACACACACACACAAAAAGACACTCAAATTTTCTGGGACTAAGTCCAGTTTAGGAAAAGTTGTGTCACCTCTTGGTCTTTGCAGATATACAATTCAAATCTGCATTAATACACACATTTGTACAAGACACACAAAAGAAGGAAACAGTTTCTCATTTGTTTTTTACTGGAAGGCATCCAAAGAATACAAGAAAACTGACGCAGGCCCCGGAAAGTCTTTCCACTTAAAGATGGGAATCACTGTGTCATGTTTGAATGAAAGGAAGATTTCACTGATAATTAAGATAATATAACTGTGTAGCTCACGTTTCTTCTGTGCATACTGAGCGGCACCCACTGACTCTATATAAAAGGTGGACGAAGCCACTGAGACATCACTCACTGGTTTTCTGAGAAGCAGGTTTGAAGCTGCTGCCATTTGGTAGCACTTCACTCCGCCTCCCACGGATAATATCCAGAAATGGGTAAAGAGGTGGAGGGTGACTGGAGCTCGTCAGACAGCTAGCAGCGGGCCATCTGTGGTAGCACCCTCCCGCCTGTCACTCAGAGCAGCCACGCCCTTAATTAAATACATAACTGTTACTCTCAATATGCCTTAAACAGGTAAGGTATATAAAAAGATCACCCCCCATCCAGTTGTCATGGAACAGGACATTAACTAAAAGACCAAAACCCTTTTTGTACAAGGCTGTAAACATGTTTGTTTCTGCTGTAAAGCTGGGCATTTTAACATGGGAGTCTATGGGGACTGACTCCCTTTTGGAGTCTGCCTCAAGTGGCCATTCGAGGAACTGCATGTTTTAACATTTCCACATTGACTTCACTTCTTATCCTCTAAAGCTGCCGCTTGGCGCCCAACTTCTGATTGTCAGCTTGGTGTCTGAGGGCTCTAAATGGAGCCATCATCCCGACAGGTCAACACAAGCTCTGACACCCCACAGGAACCCCACAGCTCTGTGGCCCCCTCAGGCAGGACAAAGACCCTCAGAAGAGGGAGGGGAAGAATCTCCCAGAACCCCCTGCTGTGCACCAGCTTCATGCTCCTGCACTACCACCGTTCAGCTCCCAAACATAAGGACTATGTCTCAGCTGAAAAATACTTTGGGAACAGCGGTCTGCAACATGGAAATATGGCTGGAGAGCTGGAGGCTGCCAGTTCTTTTTGCAGCCCTGAGGGCACAGCCCAGTTTCTCCCACATTTCCTGTTTAGACAGGGATTGAATTCACCTTATTTCCACTGCTGGCTGAGGCCACTTACAACCACAGGTCTGATTCACTCTGTGTTTGACCTGCTCTCGAGAATGAGCCTGAGGACTGCAAATGCAATAATAACCTCGATCTGTGCGCGGGAAGAGCAAGGTACACTCATTTGCCTAACATCTTCTCTGAGCTGTGTTCAGTCCAAACACTTTCTACTGTCCCATAATGAAACCAGGAAAGGAAGATGCCTGCTTAAGTTAATGTTTTGCAAACCAAGAAAATCTTGGGCCTCTCCTGGTTCAGATCTTTAAGACTTTATCAGGTGTTTTTCAGAAATAACTGACTTACATCTAAAAAGATTAGTTTGATCAGGTGAGCCATTGGTCTAATCTGATCTCATAAGACTAGCTGGCAACTCAGATGGTATATAGGTGTTTGAAAACACACTTCATGTCCAGGTGAAGTGGAAATACTCCCAGTAGGACCAACTGAAGCAATGGAAAAAAAAAACCCACCTTCACCACATTGTCCATTTAGTAGCTGTTCTGGGGCTTTCAACTGAGTTCCACAATCTTTCTCAGCAGATGGAGAGGCCCAGTTGTTCCCATTTGTATTGCCCTCAGCACTTAAATAGTTTCTCTTCAATGCTATTTCAAAAGTATGTTTTAAAAAATCCTGACCTTGGAAATAAGAGATTACAAAAGAGGCTCAAGTGAAGGGTCATTTAGTGACATTCAGGAACTTTCAGTTGCTTCACACGAGTTGTGCAGTGTAAAACAGCCGCGTGGTGCAACTTAAACCACACAATGACTGTGCAAAGTCTATCTACAGCGACTCAGTTCTCTACTACGCAAGCAGAAACATCTTGGTTGTAATTGTTGGCCAATCTGAAGTGGTCACAATTCACCGAATCCCCTTAAGTCCTTTGAAATGGGAATTTAAAACGGGGGGTATACACTTTGAGAAACAGCAGCTCTTCCCACAATAAAATTCTGTCCTTTATTTTTTTCTGAAGTCCTTTGTTTTTATGCAAATATTCTGCTGTTGCAGCTTCTCTGTGATATGGCTTTGTTATTTTGCTCTTTACTTTTATCTCTACTTATGTCTTTTTTTCTGATGCTTGTGCTCAGTTACCTTGTAATTTATGCTGTTCACAGTGAAGTCAGTTTGCACATATTGTGGACTAGAGACCAAACCAATACGTACATTTTATTACCAGCGGTTCTATTGCACAGTGTGTCCACCAGAGAGCACCGCAACTTGCTTCTTGGCAACACAATAATCCTGTGAATCGATCACGCTTTGCTTGACTGCCGCAGAGCGTTTGTGGATCTGTGTCTTGAAGTTAAGGCTCTCATTTTCATATGCAATGATAATATGATGGTGAATGATAACATATTACGCCCCCTCATTGCTATTACCTCCAAAAGGCTGACAGCAGTTGTGCCGGCCACGCATGGTTTTTCTATGGTCCTCTTGTGAACAACGACTCTTGTCAGTATAGCTCTGACAGTAAAACACATGCTTGGAGTTTCGCTGTGGTTACATTAGTTAGCCACAATGCAAGCTAATGCCATGGCATGTGAGTGGGAGACAGCTAATGAGTTGTTAACACATGGCGTTATGCTGTTTGACTGAATAACATAATGGTAAATGCATCCACAGCTTGAGTGTCAGTACAGCTGGCACAGAAGATTTACACAGAAGATTAAGTTTCTCTCAAAAGTTTTAAGCCGAGATACAACGCCTTTTCAGAATTAATGCTGACCCCCGTAGTCTGTATTTCGCAACAGCTGGTTTAACGCAAGAAACGTTAGAAGGTTTCTTAGTAGCGTGAACACAGAGACAAGTAAAAGAAGTTTATTCCCTGTTTGGGAGCACAGGGACATGTACATCTGCATACATGGCCAATAAGCTCTCTCTTTCTCATACGACTCAACGCACACACACAGAAGCACACACCCCTGATCAACCTCTGCCCTGCAGTCTGAG